TAATTATAAATCTACTAATTATAAAATTTATATACAAAATAACAAAGAAAATAAAAATAAAAAATGATAAAAAAAATTAAAATAAATAAATAAATAAACAAAATAATTTTCCTATTATTAAAAAAACAGTAAAAAATAAAAACCTTTTTCTATTTAAATTTTTGTAAATAATTTTACTAAATTATAATTCATATTTTAATCTAAAATTACAATAATTTTGCAAATATATAAAAGGAACATTTGTGCAATTATATTAAGTCATTTTAGTAAAATTGCTCATTTTATTGTTTCCTTTACTTAATTGCCACTAGCCAATTTCATTTTCTCAGATTTTTAACTTTCATATCTAGAAGAAATGAAAAAAAAAATTGAAAAAAAAATTTCTAATCTAAGATTAGAACTCGTTTCTCATTCTAAATTGAAATTTTAGAAATAGCATCGTTTAGATTAACTGCACACAAATCGACATTTTCATCCAATATGAATCTACTTTCTCCTCCCTCTTACAAAAATATATACTTTTTTTTTCTATTCTAAATATTATGAATTAAAATAATTTTACTTATTAAATTGTTTTAAAAATTCTATTATTAATATATTTTTGAATCAAAATTTGTATGTTAAAGTGAGAAAATTTACGTATAAATTCTTATTTGTTGACTTTAATTAGCACTCATTTTTTATTGAATAATACAAGGGGAAATTTTTAAAATATTAAATAACGTTTAATTGTATGTTTTTTTTAATTTTTTAGGATGTTATATTTTTAATTAAATCAATAAATTGCATAAAAGTTTTTCGTTTTTATGTTAATTAATTGTAGAAAAATTAAAATATTTTTTTATGAATTAATACATTAAAATACATAAATTTTACTTTACAATTATTTTATTAATTATAATTACTAAAATTTATCATTTCATAAATATTAGAATTTATGAAATTTTAATCAAATCAATAAAATTTTTTGCTACTTGTAATTTTTAATATACATCTTTCTTGAGTGAATTAATCTTTCCTTAATTGTGATTATTTTACAAATATTACAACAAAATTTTAAAAAAATAATTCGTAAATTTACACAAAATTCTATTTTTTATCATTAATATTTTTAAAAAGACACATTTCTATAGCTTCTTTCTTGAAATGCCATATTCCTGAACACGAGAATATGGCATCTGAAAGAGCAAAGAAGGGATTGGGATTGATGACATCAGGCAACGCAACACTTGGGCGATCTGCCAAAGACAACGTGCCTCCTGGATGGACTTTATAGGAAACTGGCTCCTATATAGGTGTAAGACACGTGGATAAAACTTGGAAAACACTACGTGGCCAGCGTGTTAGTCAGATGCGAACCCACGACGAACTGATGTTCGGTAGTGTTAGCCACTTGGTCATTGGTGGAGGAACAAAGAAGGGGCAACAATATGGAAAAAATAGAGAGAGAAATTCGTTTTCTATTTCTTTAGTCAACATATATTTATTTATTTATTAAATATTGGAAAGTTTTGCTTCTTTTGTGATGCTTAGAAGAGGACACCCCATGTAGATTATTTTGGTTTCCCTAGATACGTTAGATAAACTACCCTATCTATGATATTCTCATCATATAGATTGGGTCCATGGCCATACATGCTGCATACTATAATAAAAATTGTGTCTATGCTTTAATATTAATTTTTACAACAATACATGAAATATGTATCCAAAAAATTTAATTTAGAAGAATTTCAGTAATTTTTTTTACACGAAACTAGATCAAACTTTTATACAATATTAACATAAAAATAGTTATTTAAAAAGTTCTGGTTTTCTTTGTAATTTTATATTTAAAATTTTTAGTAGATTATAAGTCACATCTTAATAATATTAAACAAATAACAAAAATATTTTGTTCGATTAGACATAAATTTAATCAAAATATAGAAATTTACAGAATTTGATATTCAAAACAATATCTTTTTCTATATGCATTTAATTTTGAAAATTGAAAATACTATCATTTTCTTTAATGAGGTATTGAAACAGGATTGTTACAGATCAAGAAAAATATGTGTTTTAATAGAAGAAAAACAAAATAGTCAGAATCTTCTTAGCAAACTCCGTTTAGACAATACATTGTAATTCAACACAAACAATGTCTAGATTAATTTCTTTACAGTCAATGATTACAGTATACGAACAAATTCTGATCAAATTGTTGCTATAAGATGAAACAAAGACCTGTTTGAACTAGTAATTCTTTCAGTTAGGAAAACCAAACCAAATTATAAGGTAGAAATACAATTATTGACTATTATCTTTATCCATGACTCTCTTATTATTGACTAGAGCAGATGTTAAATCTCATTTTCTTTACTCCTTTCACTTTTACAAGACACCTGCCACCTATAATATATCAAAACAGTTTAATGATTATTTTTTATTATTGTTTTATCCATAAAAATATATTTTTTCGTATTTATTTTATTACCAATATCGTGTCTTTCGAAATTTTTATTATAGGTACTACGTGCAAAAAGACTCGAAAAGTTGAAAGAAAAAGGATTAACTTAAACTGTAAACCTATAGATTGACTACAGAATAATGTTTTACTCTCTATAAAAAATTCTATAAGATATTAAATAAGTTATAAAACACTATTTTTCGCTTTAGAATTAACTACTACTAATACGGAATGTTCCAATATATTAAATTGACGTTTGTAGAACTGCTCTATATCACCTTCAAAACATTGAACAAGACATTTTGTGAATCTCACCCTTTAAAATCCAACTCCATGAAATTCTAATACCCTTCTTTGGATGTGAAACCTTTACTAGAAAGGGGGGAAACGTTTGCTCCTTGGTGTCAACTCATCTATATTTCAAAAGAATTGACAATTGATTTTTCTATCTGACTGAAAGACCTATGTTCTGTTTAAATGATACGACAATTTGCCAAACCTTTCCTGCCTTCTAACTAAATTTTTTCTTTATTTATATAATTTATATTTAATATAATAAATTAATTTGTATACAAATGCAATTAACAAACACATTATAATGTAGATTTTTATATAGAAATTTGTTGTTTGTGACATTTACTAGTAATGAAAATTTCATTTGAAGCCATTATGAATTTTTCTATTTACTCGGTAGTTTCATTTATTATTAATAAATAAGGGAAATCAAATTATTTTATTCATTTATTTTGTTTACAAGAGGTAAATATTTCTAAGTAATATATCTGCTAGATATATTTTAATAAATCAAATACATTCGTTGACAAAATATGCATCAGGATTAAACTGTCCAATTATTGCTAAATTTGGCATAGAGATGTGTCTCAGATGGTATGTAGATAATTACAATTGTAGTCTTATTGCACTCGAGGTGATGCCACTACAGTGCCTTAAAATCACTACCACGGCATCCCTACTGAGGTAACGATTTTAAGATACGGTGACATTGT